GGAAAATTTTCCTCTTGTGTCCAGTTAGAATCTCTCCAGGAATAACCTGGAGAGAGTACCCATTACTCCTGTCTTCTCCATGTGACTCCTTGTGAACAGGGAGTCTCTGTTTTCCTTGTAGCCACCCTTCATACTGCATACTGAAACTACTTTTGAAGCACCTGTTGTCCTGCTGTGGTTTCCAGTCTGACATTTAGGAACACTCAGGTCTTTCTTGTGTTTTCCTTTTCTTATCAGTGCACATTTGCGTCTTGCTTCATGTGAGGAAGCCATGTCTGGGAGGCAGTGGAAGCGAACTCAGGCAACACTGCTTCAGTTCCCCAGACTTGGTTTCTCATGGTTGAGTGCCTGCACTTCTGGGTGCTGGTGGAGCTATGCAGCCTTCTGTGTGTGTTCTGTTGTGTTGTGTTGCTTGCGCTGGGTTCTGTAGGGTAAGAGTCACTGGTAGAAATTCAAAGGGGGAAAAGGTAAGTATGCCAGAAGACTGTGCTATAATAGGTACCACTCTAAAGATTTTTGTATTTAATCCAAAATTTTTCAGAAACCAATTTGGAGTCAAACTTTTGTTTGATTTTGATAATCATTTAACTTCTGAAGACTTACTGTCCTTTATACATAGGAAGGAATATTTATTGCATGCAGTTGGCACCGGCATTTGAGCTCTTAGTAGAAGTTTTACATAGGAAACTGTTAAATTAAAGCTATTTGTTTGCCTCTGTAGTATTGTGTTTAGCTAGTGACAGATGCCTCAAAGCCTTCTGGACCAAAGCAAGCATTGTGGAGGTACAGGGGCTTTTGTTGCTTTTGCTGTTTAAATGAATTGTCTTATCTAGAAGAACTAGTGTTTATCCTAGCTAATGAATGAGAACCTATAGCATCCATAACTAAACTGTTGGCACCTATGAGTACATCAGTAAGGTGGGGGTTGTGGAAGGTATGTTAGCATGGCAGGGTGCTGGTACTAATGAGAGCCATGGAAAAGATGGCTTGAACTGAGGCAGCTGAAAGCAGAGATCTTGGGACTGCACCAGCGATTTGCAGAGGCCTGTTGGGAGGTGGAAACTGAGGAGATGGAGCTCTCTGAATACAAAGAGCAGGCATAATATTTGTCATTATCTTATTTCCTAGCATTCACCGAGTGCAGTTTTTATTCAGTATGTGAGCATATTCTGTTTGAGGGTTGGGTTGGTATTTTTGTTGTGTTTTTTTTTTTAAACAAAAAAGCTATCAGAAGGAAGTTTACTTCAAACGACTGAAAAAGAGCACAAGGCTATATATGTAACTCAATTGCAGTGAGTACTGAATCAATTCTGATTACTTCCACAAGTTTGTGCTGCATTACTGTACAAACAACTTGAAATCTGCTGTGCAATTTTGGGGGGATTTGTGCTTTTTTTTCTTCATCTGTGCAATGATATTTCTAGTGTAATTCACAACTTCAGATTTAGGTTGATGAAGTAAGGGTTTTTTGACCCATAATTAAAGACATAATGGTAAAATAGCTACATCATTTCTTCAGTTTTAAAAACTTGGGTGTTTTTTGTTTGTTTTTTTTTTCCTTTTTTTTTAAAAAATAAATTACTTCCAAAGCTGCCTAGGAAACTGTATTTTAAAAGTAAACTGGTGTGGGCAGTGATCACGGAGACATTTAGTCAGTGGTTTGCATACCTTGCACTGCTCTAATTCAGTCCCACTCAGCAAAATTGTAATGGGTTAACTTAGGTAGGTATATACCTGGTCTTCAGCATGAGGTCTCAGAAAAGGTGTGAGGAGGCAGGTGGCCAGAAGGAACAATTAGCGTTGGCTGGGCTTTCAGTTACCTCTGATTCCCCTGGGGTAGAGAGTGCTCAGCACTTGACCAGGAGCCCCTTGGGCTGTGCTTGCCATCCCACACAAGCTGCTGAGCTGTGGCACTCAGTTTGTTCATGACTAATGAACCTTTGAAGAGTTCAGTTGAACAGGGATAAGTAGGGATTTGTGCTTCAGCCATCACCTTTTCTTACTGAACTTGGCAAAACACTGAAAGGATCCACTTCCATTTGTTTTGTTGAAAGCCAGTATCTCTGCAGACATGTGAGCCAGCTTGTTGGAAGATGCTAATTTGTTCTTTTTAAACTCCTGTGGATTCTAGAGCATATTGTGTTCCCAGAACAGGCACTTGTAAGGCTTTCATACTCTTCCTTGAAGTGACTCCTTTGCTGATGCGTAAGGTGTGTGAAACTACTTCAAGACTGTCACCAGTTTGCAGTCTGAAAGATGAGTTATTATTCTAGCAAATTGAAGAAACCTTATGGTAGAAGTGTGTGTAGTACACAGCGTGCTTGTATTACATGTATGTATTCGCCATCACCATATGCTTCTGTGGCTATAGACAGTATGTGAGCTGATGTTGATTGTCTTAGTTCTTTTGCAGGAGATGTTTGGTGATGCAGTGCAAGTTTTCCAGCTGTTTTAATTCTTGTGCAATATTGAATTTCATATTGTGTTACGACTTCATGAGTATCTGCAGGTGTTTTCAGGTACGTAGAAATGATAGTACAAAAGGTTGTCTTAACAGATCTAGGGTAGGCTGATGGTTAGGTTTTACTCCTTATTTTTTTGTGGTGAGGATAAGCCTACAGGACAAGGTCTGATTCTGAGACATCCTGCTCCTGGGATAAGACACGTATCTGATTGCTCAGATGCTGTTGTACAGGACTTATGCCAGACTGTCAGGAGAGGGACTCCTGAGAGAGACAAGCCTACATCCCAGTGTACGTGGCTGTCCCATGAGCTGACTGTGCTGGGTTGCTGGCGGGTACTCCTATGGGAAGCCTTTCTTGCTGGGCGCTCCCTTTCCTCTTGCAGAGGCAGCTGGTTGGAGCCCTGTCACCCTGACAGGAAGCCCTGCACCCTTAGGGAGAGGCAGCCACGCCACGGTGCCAGGCTCCATTCTGCAGGGAGTGGGAAGGGCAGGGTAGTATCGACACCTCTGCTCTGACAACCACTCTGGCACTGTGTGCTTCTGCTGGGGCTGTGTCTTGGTGCCGGTGCAGCTGCTTGCCTTGCTGGCAATGATGTCCTGGGTCTCAGACTCGCACTTACCTCCCTGTTTCTGTGGAGGTGTCACAGCTTGTGAGGCCAGGCCTCCACAGTAACTCCCCTTTCAGAAACTTCCCTTGCTATAGGGATTTTGTCTGTTGCTTTTCACTTTTACTCCTCACTGTCATGTAAAGGAAAGAGGAAGTTGGCCTTTTCTTGAGCGTGAAGTACGAAGATAATGGAGAATGTGATTATCTACAATCAAATGTTATGGTGGGAACCTTCAAAAGCACACGTGCTGCTCGTCAGAAAAAAACTGGGAAGCTCAAAGTCTTAGCCTTCTGTACAATAATCCCTTGCAGAACGCACATGCATACGACATCTGTACATCAAATGTTTATGTGTAATAATAATGTATAGAATTTCCCTATACACTGAATGTGTTGCACAGGGAATGAAGTTAAGATCTTTACCATCTTCAAAATGAAGCTTTCTTGTTTGGCTTATGCCTTAAACATGTTTGGGGTATTTCTTAAGAAAAAAGAACAGTTATAGTAGCTGGAAGAGCAAACGGGAGAAAAAAGATTAAATGTGTACAAATGCATAGTAACATACAGTATTTCATGTTTACTTGTACTTATGAGGCCAAAGAAATAACTCTGGAATTGTAAATAGTGTGCTGCAAATCTTGACAAGAAGGCTGTACACTGCTGAAAGTGATGGTTTACAATGTGTTCTGGTGTGTGTATGGGATAGGACAGACAGCAGCTGTGGAGGGAGGGCTGTGAAGCGTTGGATCAGGAGGTGTCTGGTGAGGCACTATACTGTGCCGGAGCTGTGCTGGAGCAAGGCAGCAGGCCAGCCTGGGGGACCCAAGTGAGGGATGAGACCCCAGCCAGGCTGCTGGCACCTACCCCTTGCCTGGCTAGGGATGGGAGCCCCTGCTGCTCCCTGCTCCTGGCCCCATCTGGTCCTGTTGTGTTGTAAGTCCGCTGCTGTTGGCATGGGGCTGTACACTTGCCGCCTTCTGCTTTGAGCCTTAATGGTGATAAATCTCTTGTACGTAGACTGCTGGGTGAACGTGGGGCTTGGGCAAAGATGTCTGCATAACTGGAGGGCTTGGAAGTGCTGACAGGAGTCTTTCAAACTTGATGTATGTTGTTTCTAATGTGAGGCTAGCTGCTGTGGTCCTGGGAAGATGGATTAGGTTGTGCCTGCTTAAGATTCAGGTCAGTGCCATGCAAATTTTTCATTCAGTATCTGAACAGTGGGTCTTTTAAGAATTTGCCTGACCCACATAGGGCTAGTTTTAAACCCTCTGTAGCCGGATGATAAAATTCTGTGCTTATTTCAGGCCTCTTAATCTTGTCTGCTGCCTCGGCTGCTGCTGCTTCTCACTGAAGGACCAACTTCCTGACTAGCAGTGCATTGCTTCTCCGCCATTCCTGCGTAGGACAAGCTTTGCTGATATACAGCGAATACAGGGATGGTAATTCCTGGCTGGAAAACAAGATGGAGTGCTGTGAGGCAAATATGATTGTAGAAATAGTTTGGTGGGATGGGAGGGTAGTTAAAGGTGGTCTTGTCAAGTAGATTGTCTGTTCTGTTATGGTAAGGATTTGGTGGCCATCTGGCTGACGATGAGGTGTTGTTCTGCTGTTATCACGGGATTGAAAGCACTTGTCACATATATGAGTATTTAGAGTTTAGATCGTGTGTGTGTACTCATATCTACTTGTGCATCTAAATACACTTTTGTCATTCAGCTTTCACAGCAAATATCAAGAGTTCTCTGGCTTGCCTCTGTCTAGACTTTGTTTAGAAATTATTAGTACTGCAATGAAAATCACTAATTAATATACTGCTACCCTAAATTTCAACTTTTCATTGACATTAGTTTCTACAAATGATCTATTCCATGTAGTCTAGATTCTAACATGGTAAAACTGCCTATTAATTTTTATCTTTTTCTCTTACAGTAAAAAATGGCATTTCAGAAGGCAGTGAAAGGAACTGCTCTCATTGGAGGAGGTGCCATAGCAACAGTTTTTGGCCTCTCTCAATTTTCTCAGTATAGAAACAAACACGTAAGTATTAATTATGATTTCTGATAAAATATGAAATTTAAAATCTGTTTGAGCGTATGTTAGGCTTATACAGATAGTTTTGTTTGGAAAGGAATGCCAAGAGACTGTCAGCTTGGTTTGTTGGATGCTAATCTGGAGGATGGCATTAACAATAGTTCACTGTTGTAGGTCTTTAACCAGTGGGGAAGTGTGATTGTTCTAAATTGGTTTTCTTGTTTAAAAAATTACCTTTGTGTACTACTCAGGATTTTACTTAGTGCAGGAGGAGTGGAAACCTCCACTGAAGTGTAAGCACTAAGTAGAGTTTGTAGTATTTTCAAACTTGCAAGCTTGAAGTGAAACCAACAGCACTACCTGTGTAAATCTCAGCTTTAAACCAGTCATGGTGCCAGCTCTTACTCAGTTCAGAAAGGTGAAGGCTGTTTGAGGGTAGGATCTGTGCCACAGAAGTCAGTGGTGAGGCTCCTGTTGCTTTGGTGGACGTCAGCTTCTGTCTAGGTGGGCACAATCAGACACTGGTAAGCTCAAAGCACTGTTCAGTGCTCTCTTCCAGGTAGCTAAGGCTCAGGCAGAATAAATTCCCCAAGCAATGAAGGATGACGTTGGAGACTTGCTGTTAAGGTAGCCATAGCAGGAAGAAGTGCAGTAGATACCTACTCTATTGATTCTTGCTGTTGTAGAAAACAGACTTCATTGGCGTATCTTCTTCTCACAGTAGACTCAGCGTCACCACGCTCTTTTAGCTTGCTTCTCAATGCAGAAGGAGAAATCAGTAAAAGGAACATGAGTTGTGAACTGGTTTTAGGCAGAGCTGGTGTGAATCAACAACTGTTCTTTGTCTTAAAGCAAATAAATCCTCCTTGTTTTAAACACGGTTGTGCTGTGATTTAGAGTTTTGTAAAATAACCACATCTAGACTTAGTAGATGAGTATAAAGGAATGTGCATTAAATGCGGGCTGTGAGGCTGACATCCTCCAGTTGTCCGGAAGTATTTGCAATCAATGTTCTGTAAAATGCTTATGAAGTAGGTGTAGTCAGAGCTGTGGCCTGATTTGCTTCAATCTAGGTTTGGAAAAAGCTTAAGACCAAGAAATAACTCTTTCTTCCTTTGAGATGGTATCAGTGTGAGCAGCTAGGTGAGCAGGTGCTTGTTTCATGTGGTGCTTTCTGCTTCTCACCTTAGAAATATAATCGGTAAGCTCTTCGTCTAGACAAGCTGTTACTCTGTGAATTGATTTAGTTACCACACATTTACTGTAAGTTGCCATTCAAATTGAGCAAACTGAAGATAGGAACAGAAGTGGATCTTAATGGTCTAGTTGAAGGTAAAACAGTGGGTAATGAGAGGGAATCTTCACTGAGCTCCATGAAGGTGTGTATTATGTCTGCATAAATGATACTCCGAAGCTTCTGACTGTTTCTATGGGGAGGAGTAACAGCAGCTGAGGTATTAGTAAAGCAAATGAGATGAGTCATGTCTGAGGAACCTAGCTGGAAAGTGGATAGGACAGGATCCTTATGGCTTTAGATAGTGTTGCAGAAAATAAAACTTCACATTCAAAGTGAGCTTCTTGTTGGGCTGCCTGTCTTGCACCTAGCTGATAATACTGCTTCTAACTCTCTGGAGTGTTTAGCACAGGATTTTACAGTCTGACTTCATTATTATCAGGAATTGCAGCTTCAAATTTTAGGACTGCTTAATAAAGGGAAGGGTTGGAAGGGAAAACTGATCTGGATAGCTCACTCGTCGTATATGTAGTACTCCAGAATTCAGGGCATTCCCATTTTTCTAGGGATTGGATGGCCATTGTAAATTTCCAGAGGTGGATTAAACCCCAAAGTTTCACAGAAGGGATTTAGTCTCAAAATGAAATAACTGCTTGTCCCCCAGTTTTTAAACCTATTGCATTGGATCAGCCTACAAAGGATCTGAAAATTTCCAGCATATGTGTAAGCAAATGGATCTGTCAAGTGAACAGCATGTTGTTTTCATGTTGTACTAACTTGCACATTTCCCACGTGATATCCCTTAAAGCCGCTGCCTTAAACACCTAATATAGGGCAGCAGGTGGAACATAACTGGAGGGATTGACACAAAGGAGGACAGTCCATTTGTTGTGTTGACATACCTAAGCTGTGGGCATGTCCTCTGGCCCAAGTGTCCTCTTTTTAATAATGCCTGCCAATCAAAGATATGCTGGGGCAAAGATCTTGTCATCCTTTGCCAGAAGAGGATATTGCCCCAAGATGTGCACTAATTGGCTACACATTGTAGAAAAGCTGTTGTTACTTCAAGAACAGAATCCATCACATAGTAAGACAGAAATAAAATGCTCAGTTTTTTTTACCCACATTCATATTGCTTCACTCAGTGACTGGATGTCTGTGCTGTGGCTAGAGTCTTGGAATTAGGGGCACCCAGTTACAGAATAATGACCTTGACAGGCTAAAAATCCTGAACACACAGGATAGTTTATATGTCTGTCTTTGTTTTCCATGTTCATCCAGCTGGTGGTTAATGCTTCTGTGAAATTTGGCTGTCCCAGGTAACTCCAAGGGAGAAGCTGAAGGATAGTAAAGTTCTGGCTCTTGAGAAAGAGTAAAAGGTCATTTGGACTTGTTAGTCAAGCATACTAGTGAGTGGTTTGCCTACTAAAAGGGATAAGGATTGGTAATTTTGGATGCTGAAATTTCAATTGCCCTTGTTAGATTTGAGAGTCAGAACTTGCCTGTGAGGAGAATGGCATAGTTAGCCTTGTCTGTGTGTAAACATCTGTAAAGTGTTTACACCTTGGAAATAAAACACTCCATAGATTAGGATCTATTCTGGTTTTCAAGATTTTTACCCCAACTTATTTTTCTGCTCACGCGCATGTACGCTGACATTTTGGAGCATGCTTCCGCAACAGCAGTTGAGGTGATATAACGGGAGAATCCGTATCTATGTATGCAATATGTGGGCATACAAGGGGTTTAGTAAATTGCCCTTACCTTGTGCTGGGTTTTTGGAGTTCCTGCTGAGCAAGGGAGGATGGGAACATATGGTGACATGACAGAACTGTTAGTGAATTTAATGCGTAAGCTGATAGATGAATATTGCACTTCAGTGTCTTTTATAGTAACCTTGTCACTGGGGTGTTTACTGAATTAATAATGCTATGTGTAAGGGAGTAAGTAGGAGCGACACTTAATTCAAGCAAAACCTCTTTCAGTCAACACACAGGAGTGGTTCTTTCATATGGAATAACCATTTCCCTTAAGGAAGCTGGTCAAGCTTTCTGTGCAGCTTCATTGACCTAGGCTGTGGAGGACACATGCATAACTGACAAGGAGGCTTTTGATTAGCTTAAAAAGAAAAACCCTTTTCCAGAGAAAATGATGCAGTTGGATGGCAGGTAGTGCAGAGGTCTGAGAAAACTAGTCCTTCCTAAACTGTTTTTGGGTAAAGCAGAAGTTAGACTCTTACATCTTTTTCAGTGTTCCCACCGCATATGGGTTTTAGACCATACAGGAACTGTTGAAATCCATGTGTGCTACATTAACACCTAGTCATGAGCTCCTGAAGGGAGCTGCATCCCAGATGGAGTTGGACCCCTCTGAGTTTACCAGCTGTATATGTAATTGATTAATTTGGCATCAAATATTCAGACACCTGTATGGCAAGTGTGACACAGCCAGCCTTTGCTGGCTGTTTCACCAGGGCTTCTAATGCTAAAGGTGATGGAGAAATGGAAAGACCAGTTTCTCTTGTTTCTTGGAAGTGCTGACTGCATTGCTATATTCTTGCTTTCTGTGCCTTTATTTTAATGCATCAAGCCAAGCGAGCTACTACTTGATGTGACACAGGTATTCCTTGATGTGCCAAGTCTGAACTGGAGATGAGGGGTTTTTAATTTTATTTTCTTTTTCCACTCCCACACCCCTGTAATCATTAAGAGAAAAGCAGTGCTTTGTTTTGGGGTGTAAGAGACCCCCCTCTCTTCCTTACAAGGCCCACCAGGCGATCCTGCTCTCTTTCTGGCGTGTAAGTGCATTGGTGGTCAGTATGAATTGCTCATCAAGGTGAATCCAGTCGAGTGTGATAATATGATAATGCATCGGGGGGGTTTAATTACATTTTTTTATGAATAAGGATGATGAATTTGACTCTGCAAACCTACCTGGAGATTTACATTAGCCAATTAACAAGAATGCTTGCTTATGGATTACTAGATCACTTTATAACTTTATGATTAAATTCAAACTGCCAAACCAAATTTCGTCTTGCTAAGAGTGTAATCAAAACCATTCAAGGAACTCTTGCCTGAGAAATTGTAGATATAAACAGCAATTGCTTATTTCAGTAAACATGCTTGTTCACTGCCAAACTAATCACGTTATTGCAGATGGAATCCCTGTATGCAGCTTTTCTTCGCTCTCACATTTAATTGACAGCAAGATGAATCATATCTATATCAATTCCTGGTGCGTTAATCACTGCTTGTATTTCAGCACTAATCTTTATCCTCTTGCTATGCCAGTGGCTTGCTGCTTGGGACTCTGGTCTGTGCTTTACTATAAGCCATTTGTTGTAAATAATGTGCTTAAAAATCAAAACAAAAATTGCAGTCAAAACCAAATGATGCTAGCACTCCTTGAACTCTGAATTTTGTTTTTCTTGTGCTCTGTTATCTTCCTGAAGTTGCACACTTTGAAAGTGGTCACTTGTTTTGCAGAAGGTGGCATGTATGAAAATGTAGTGCAAAACTAATTTTGAGATGGGGAGTTTCGCTTTCTTAAAGCTCATGAAAGTTCAGAGTATGTAGCTGACTTGTTCGGCCAAAACACATGCAAGGCTAAACTGTGGGTGGCTTTGGTCTTCACAATTTCTTCCTTGTCACTGTTGTCTCCAAGTTACAGGGTGATATTTAGGGAAGCTGGGACATTGGCATCAGCTGTCTGACCTCTTGTAATGGTGCAGGACTAAAAAGCATGTTTAATGCCACAGCTTACCAAGGTA